CAGTACAGGGCACCCATAGAGCGGGGAAAACGTAACAAATTCCAGAGCCATTCTGCCTTGGCCTGGGTAATACAGCTACACACAAAAAGTTCAGTGTTGATGAAAACACATGAAAATTTATATTAAAGATATAAAATGCATTAAAACAAAAGAAATAAAATGCATTTAAGTAAAAGAAACTACTTCTGGAGGACAGGGAAAACTGGAAAAAGAAGTAGGATCAAATAGAAGCTGGTTACCCTGCAATGTTACAGAGGACATCAATCCTTTCAATCTCCTTGGCCAGATTTTCTATCTGCTCCTTTTTGGTGACATCCAGAACCCGTATTTGAATGCCTAGAAAAACATGGTTTCAGTGTATTTGGCTAAGGATCAGCAGTTTATTTTTCTGAAGTGCTGAGGACTGCATCTACAATTCAAGTCAGTGGCTTGCCAGGAATAGTCCCCTCTCAGTGGTTCCCCACCACATGGAGACTCATTGAGCAAGAGTTACACTTAATGATTAAATTAGTGCAATTAGTGTATCAGGACAGCAATGGACAGCATGGCATGCTGTTTAAAATTTCAGAAGGGAATTAAAAAAATGATCAAATGATTTGATTATCATACAGCATCACGCAAGCAGATGAGCTAATGTCATTTACCATAAAAACATTTCCAATAAATTTAAATTCTACTGTGCTCTCAAACTGAAAAATTACAGAGCCTGTATAATCATAACAAGCTTTCATGCCCACTATTATAGAATAATAATTACTTGAAACTAGTTATATGTGTTACATATACTCACAATCACATTACATGCCATCTATCCATGTGTAGTTGAGGATATGATGAATCGGCTCTATACCATTTAATTAATGAGAAAAAGTGGTTTTGCATAAGCCAATAACTTACATAACCTGGAATGATGTCATAGCCATGATAATAGAAATGAAGGGGAAGTGTAACAAATTGATGGCTTCTATATCACAAAGGCTAGTTTAAAAATATGATGGTTATGGTTTTGCAACTATTTGTTTATAATAAAAAAAAAGAGGGCTGGAAACGTGTTGCTTTTCACTATAAGCTTCTATGTATTTCAGCCGCTGACAGCTGTCACTGTCAGCGCTCATAGCACTGGCTATGCCTGTGCCATACCTTCAAGAAAGCCACTGATAACAACAAGAACCCCCAACCCCAACCCC